AAATCAAGTAAAGATATGCCTCCAAAATTATATAGTTTACGTATAATATATAGACAGGTATTTACATTTTACATATAAAAGTACGGCTCTTAAGAATACTCGTTTCACTAGGAAAGGTCGTCAAGTTGTAATGATTTCCTTAAAAGTTGTTATCCTGTTATTTAAATTCCACTATGGTGCGTCTACATTATGACGTAGGTAAAAAATGCCTCTTTCATTTGTTTGGACTTTTTTTTAGCCAACGGGCAATTTTTTTCTTCAACTGACTTACATGTAACTTTCATTAAATAACAAGTTATCAGTATTAATAAAAACTAACCCCACGACGCAATAAGTGGAAAGCACGAACATGCAAACCGCATTTTTTATCTATCCTTTTATTTAAACAATGTTATTATAATTACGTAAGGCATATAAGTATATGCCAACCTTTTTTTTACTGCGAAAAAAAAATCACTGCTTTGGCTTCACTATTTTCGTTTAAAAATTAAGCAAGCTTTAGACATTTAAACGACGCGTGATAAACAAAAAATTGAGTTACAGAAAACAGAAAAAAAATGACGGTGAAGTCATAATTACTTTGATATTTTATCTTAGCTAATAATTATTAATACTAAGGCAAACATTAAGCTCTTAATTTTTTGCAGTTAACTATAATAACGATAAAATATAAAAAGATTTTTAATAGGTACTAAGATAAAATTCTAGATCGTTCGATACGCGAGTCATGGTGTTTTTATGTGAATACGCAATTAACGCCAATGCCACCAGGTCTAAGATCATTTTATAATTACTTGTTTCATTTATTTTTTCAAAGAAGTAAGAATACGTCTTATTCTTACACGTAGGTATAAGGGGCCTTACGCACTTCAAGCTGTTTATCGCAATACCGTTTAGGCCTTTACAAAACAATAATGTTTTGGCCATTTAATATAACAAAATTATAAATATCTATCTACATAATGCTTAAAGTATTATTATTTTTCATTTATTTTAATTAATGCGCATCATAGCTTACATAAAGTAAAATTGTATTTACAATAAAAATGACAGGACTTGCAACCACGAACCTGGCTCAGTAGTTGTAAACAATATTATTAATATATTTAAAAATAATTATAAATGTTATCTTGTTAAAAAAATAATATTAATGACAACACAGCTTTTAATATAATTTTACATTTAATTGTACTTCAGGGTGAGGTGTTTATATTTACAATTACCATGATTCAATGGGGGCGATATTTCGTTACGATAAGGCAGTGTGCCTACAGAGATATGTTTAAGTAGTTGCCTGACAATAAAAGAGTATAACAAATACAGAAATGTGCCTACCTTATAAAGGAGAAATGGGATTTACTTATATAGTGAAAATTATAATAAAAAATCATTTACCAATGTGAAAATACACGTAAAAAAAATTAACCTTCTAGTCAAATGTAACGATAATTATATTTACTAAAAATCAATGAACATTTACATAATTAGCGATCATAGGTTAGCAAACTCAAACGTACGTATTGAGGTCAAAGTTGCCTTCACAATGTACCTATGAAAACAATTATGCCATGGCTATAGTTAGAATATAATAAAATGATGGTGCACGATGCAATTAACACAAAACTCGCCAGTATTATGGTCATTAAAAAATTATAGAAACTGTTTAGCTATCTGAAAATGAAATTACAGCGAAACCTAACAAAACTAAGTTACAGTTCTTGTAATAAATTAAAAAATCACGATTGAATATATAGCGACCAGAAATTTAAAATCATATCCGATGCAAGTAATCTCTAATATTCAAGAAGTTACATTTTAAATACTGTCTATAGTTTACGCGAGTAGTACACAATTAAATAAAACACTTTAACGGTTTAAAACGAGATATATTAGTTAAACTTATTTGGAAATGATGTTTAACTTCGGCCCGACGTTTTGGATGTTTTGCAGTAGCCGTGGTCACGGGGAGACAAAGTTACATTTTGCTAAGTAAATATAAAGCATTTTTATGTTATATGTTGACGTACCCACGTCGTTTTATTTACTCGTAAAACGGAGTTCACACTTTTAATGCTGAGTCCCATCTGAGTTCTCTATCTTAAATAATTTTCGAGAGAGAAAAAAATAATTGTTTTATTCAGGCAGGACTACATCAAAACATCTACTATACATAGATCAACAAGCTCTCGTAAGGGAGCTTACAAAAAATAACTTAATTAAAAGACGTGCTTTAAAACAACTCATCATACATTCAGATTGGCATCTACTAACTAATTTCCATAACACCGTGTCACACTTGATGGTAAAAGAAGAAAGTAATAACCTCACTCGAAAGTTCAACTATATTTGCCTAACATAGGATAGTAAGTTTAATCTGGTTCAATAAAGAATTATTCCAACCAGTTGTCACACCAGTGTTACCAGTTACGAGTAATCTGACGTCATGTTTTACTGCTTAATTGGCAAACTTTCCGTGTTTTATTATAAATCTTCATTAAAACGCCTGGCAAACAATGCATCAAGTCGGCCAATTAAGTAATTCCCCGCAGAGATAGAGGCGCATGCACTGTTTTCGGAATGTATTGTTCACATTTACATCACAATAATGTTTTGTCTAATTAAGCACGTTGCTTTCACAGAATCATGTTGGGTTATCACACTTTGGTATTGTATGGGGTTGTATTTTTAATATTGTGATTTTTATTAATGATATTATTGAGTCATCAGTAACATCAGCCTGAACTCGGCATCTTTTTAGATTATAGGTCATAATTTAACCACACTTCCCCGAAAATCAGGGCCTTAGAGCTTACAGAGCCCTTGTGGAAAAAATAAATTTTAATTTTTTAAATGATCTGTTCTTGTTCCTATTTACAATTTTTAAGGCTTATATCAAGCTACGCGAACCGAGAGGATTAGGGACCGATTCTTTTTTTATGTACCGGGGCCGTTGTCCACCAAGCTACGCTACTGGGGCAGTACAGAAGTCGATGCACACTACCACTAGACCAACACGGCTACCTGTCTTCTAGAATCGTTGTCTTTTTACCCAAAAATATATGCGACTGATAAATACTATAAACGTTACCTATTTTAATTATATTGTTGTTTAATAGATTTACCACAACCACAAGCCGCACACCCGAATCGACCTGTCGGAGCGAGTGGTGCTCATGCGCAGTTAAAACGCCTGGTAGCCAGAGTGGTTGAAGAAGCTGCTGCTTTACCAGCGCTCGCGAGGTACGCGGCGGAACCACAAACACCTACTGAGTCTTCCTACGAGGATTTACTAGCCACAGCAATCCTCAACAAGGTACAAACATAATTTTTGAGAGTAATTCAAAAACAATGATAGACAGTTGAAATTTTCATAAAAGAGGAGTTTTTGTTGCCGCTCTAACAACAAACACTAAATTTATACAAAATAAATCTTTATGCGGCCCTTTTAACAACAGACATTTCTGTCATAGTTTCATGGATAATAATTTCATTGTTTAGTTTCTTACTTTGTCGGTTTTACTTCGGAATTGTAAATTTCATATCGCAAAGTTCTACAGTTGTATGATAACAACATCTGTAATTTTTTTTAAAATAAAAAAAAAAAAAAAAAAAAAAAAAAAAAAAAAAAAAAAAAAAAAAAAAAAAAAAAAATTCTCCCCCCCCCCCCCCCCACCCACCCCCCCACAAAACCCCCAAAAACCCCGGCCGAAGCAAAAACATTTTAAAAGTTAACAAAATATGCGTTTTAAACGTAAAGGTTTAAAATGGTCAAAAACACAATGACCGCATACTCCAATAATACTGTTATGATCCATATTACAAGTGATTAGTGACCAATAAAGATAATAAATCGGATATTATACTTATGTACATATAATGTAAAATCAATTATTAGACTACTCAGGTAGAACAATTATTTTTACAACATAAATAATTATACATAATTAGATGTTGCAGACATTGAGAGCAGATCCACATCAAATCCTACTTACTTAAAAGAAACGAGGTGCTCATAGGTGTCTTCGTACTTAATCAATATATGGCAGATTTTATAAAGAATCTAAAAGCAAAGTTCCATAGTTGTTACAATGTCGTCCATTTTACTATGTACAGGTGATGGGCAATGCACTCCCATTACACAACATACAAGAGAGAATCCTTACAACTGGCAACAACATACTTTCGTACATCAGCTAGAATTATGTTTAGTATAGGGTTGTCGATGAAGGAAATTTGTAGATTGTTCCAAGTTTTTATTTAATATAATTAGGATCTATCTCATTTTAATTTGAAGAAAAATCTTAGTACTAACTGACACATGTAAAATTAATAGGCACCGCACGCCTATAGTGTGTGTATTATTTTTATAGAAATATATCTATAAAAATAAAAGTCTATGACATAACTATTTTCTCGATAAAATATATATATCGATAAACCGTTTTAACAGATTTAATACAACATTTTTATCTGCAATCTCAGTTTCTTGCTTGCAATTAAAATACTTTTTCTTCTGTAAAATGTTTATATCATTGTCTTTCGGGCTTTTCGGCCAACGTGAGTGAGAAGAGGTTCGCGACGTTTCGCCATCACGTGCGGACGGCAAATTTAGGAGACGTTAACTCCTTGATTTCTCGAAGAATTAACATAATACTACTATCAAAGTTCTTTCTCTTTTATATTATCTGAAATACCCAAAAACATTTGTTTGATATACGATACTGTGTTTTTCAAGTCTATTATAAATTTCAGAATGTTTGATGATTTATAGCAACTCCTCGTCTTGAATAAATCAATATAAAAACGTGCAATCGTAACTCCCATCTTGTCTTGCTATCAATACTTTATCCACAATTGATAATGTTCTTATCGTGATAACGAGTTAGTATTCGTCGCGATGTCCGTGTCGTGCTAAGAAATGGTAAGCTCATTAGACTTTCATATTAATTACTATGTTAAAGATGTGTGTTTTTGTGCAGTAGTGTAGTGTCGCTTGCATAATGATAACCACACTCGATGGTTTTATTTTTGTCTTCTTCTTGTATGTGCTAAGTTGGGTAAGATCTTCAATAATAGGTCAAAGTAAAATTTACTTTTACAGTATTTATTGTTAATTATTATAGTTTATTTTATGTCTGAATCGTAAGATTCATCAGCGAGCAAGCAGCACCAACCGACCAGCAACTTATACTCAGTGGAATAGCGGAATATCATTCTATGGGATATAGACATTCTGAAGTAGTATTTCATATTATGTTTTAAAATTAGAAAATAAACAGTATTTTTAATTTCAGTTTCATATGAAAATTAACAAACACTCAATAAATATTTTTTCATTAGAAAGTCCACCTATCCACATATTAAATTAAAATCTATATACATTAAAAATAGAAATAACTTTTTTATTTATATACATTAGGACAATACAATCTTAATTTTTAAAAGTGAAAGTTATTCTATAAACTTTAACGGGAATACAATTACACTAGTAAATTATTCCCAAAAAATATGGGTCTATAGTCTCTAAATGGAATTCTACCTACCTTTACATTATACTGAATAGTAAATCACACTCACAAGATTATTATGGAATATTGCCAGCCCTAGAGCGACCGCCAGGCAAGCATAGGCAGTATAGTGAAAACCGTGCAGCGCCGTGCGAATATCATTGTATAATTTAAACAATTAAATCGCGAGACGTAGCTATTAAGACTATCGGTGTACTCATCTCAAAAGTATGAACGATTTTGTTGACACTGAAGATACACAGGTACATAATATATGTTATTCTCTTATAAGAAACGGTTTGGGTAATTTAACTTGCAATTAAGATGCGATATTCTATGTACATTATGATAACAGTATATCTTATATATTAGAAAAATAAAAGTAAAACTGCCCCTTATGGGTCATTTTATAATTGAGGCTGTTAGAGCCAGAGTGGCCCAATAATAAAAAACATGATTCTCAATAAGGAGGAAAATAAAAACGCGCAGTTAACTTAGGCGAAAATTAATTTGTATTATAATTATTTTAACAATTTTTTGGTCACTGTGCTTTTGTAGATTAACATTTTTACACTATAAACAATAAGGCAAGTCATAAAATTGCAGTTAGGCTACTCTGGCTGTATTGGTCTAAATTTTATTTTTTCCACCATTTCTATGTTCTTTCTTGTTGTGTTACCTACCAACTATCTCGCGTTAGGATACATACACCGTTTCAAAGTACATAGTTTTAAATATTCAAATTCTGGTCATATAAAATTAATCTGTATAATACGACTGGTAAATTAGCAAATTATAACTGATAATAGAGATCAAGGCCCAAGTCAGAGTCCTTAAAATCAGTTTTATCTTATGTCTTATCGTTTTTATGACTATTGATTCGTGATTGCAAAAGTTAATTATTTTGATTAAATTACTTACATATAAGGTTGTATACATAATGAAATTTATTGAATATCATTAACCAATATTGCAAATAACCAAAATTTTTCTCTATTTTTATTACGTGGCATTGGGATTTTAATGTATTGCGGCCCTGGCCTCGATTTCCGGGAAAACGTTTTCTGAACTGAACCTTCTTTTGTGCTTTGAATAGCGATATATTTCACAAAGCATTGCTTTACGAAAAGCTTATTGTTATTGCAGGTCATCGAACGCTACCAAACCGAGAGTGGTTCGGGTGGTCGAAGCAGCGGGATCCATTCAGCAAGTGCAAGTCCTTCGCCCTCAGACAGATCTTCACCACGATCTCACGAACTCATCTCTCTATCGAGAAACACCCGCGAAGTATCGCCTTCTGTTAGTGCGGTAAGGATGCTTGCTATGCCTGCGACTTCATCTTTATAGAATAGTAAAATAGTGTGTGTTTGACTTGGTTCACTGGCATGCGTATATTAATAAGCTTTATAATGTTCCAAGTCCAGCTTAAAGCCGCCAAAACCCAAATATTTTCATATGTTGCCTCATTGCATTGTATTCATAATAGGTATAGATAGACCTTATTTATTGTCTTAAAATAAATACAAAACTTTCAGTTATTTCTAATTATATGGCTAAAATTAAATAAATCATTTTTCAGTTGCGAGGTGATGATGTGTCCGACTGGGAAGAAGGTGAAGGTACGGATGATGCAGTGGAGTTGCCCCATCCAGTACCCTTCCCCGAATTTGGTGGCGACATCGTACATTCTACCGGTAACGACACATTTTATCTGAGTAGGGTAGAAACAATCTTTAGAACGCTTAAATTCTAAACAAAGAAAATCATTTATTTCTATTAAGAACAAGTACAAAACTAAAAGAGACTTGTAAAAATTGTATGTCAAAGATAATCTTGAATAATTAGGTACACATCTAATTAAAAATAACTAATTTTCAGAGGACATAGACAGAGACTTCGACGAGGTTTCTGGAAGTGACATTCAGGCTACCGATGGATCCTGGGAGGAGAACTGGTTGTTTCAAAAGAAAAAGATTAAGAACATTCAGTCAGTTCCAGTGCCTATGTTAGTACCTAACTCCAATACAGAGTACAGAGTACTAATCGGAGACAGGGACGCCGACGACACCACCGATTTATCAGATAATGCGAGCGATGCTGAAGATCAAGACGTAACATACAAAAGTGACATAAAGAAAGTTCTAGACTCAAAACATCTCATTGGGGGAAAACCCAAGATTGGCGAAGTTTTGGAATTCGAACCGGATAGTCTTATGTCTATAGATGGGCGAATTAGCGACAACTACTCCAAAGACGAAGACACTGTAGACAGTCTTGACACAAGTTTACAAGATGTTTCTAAACAAGAAAAGGTACAATGTATAAACGCAAACATGAACGAATCAGTTTTAGAACTTAGCACAGACAGTGGCCCATTACTCAAAACAGAATTCAATTTAAAGGAAGAAATTCATAGAACTGCCAATGGAAGTGTGGAATACGACAGCTTGAGCAATTCTGAGAGAAACACTAATAGTTTAGAAAACAATGAATCGCCACACGATAAAGGTAGGTAATCATGACACATAAATACATTTAAAGTCGAGTCCAAAATTTCACTTCATGTTTGTAATATTATTTCTCTTTTTAACAGAATTAACAAATACACTAAGTCGTCACGAGCGAGAAGGCGAATACGAAGAAACTGTTTCTATACCAGTACAGCGATACGCAGATAGTTTACGGAGAAAACATTTTGAAGAACCACAACCGTATGTCTCATTAAACTTAGAACTTAATTGAATAACCTGTATTGTTTAATAAAATTTATTCTCCGTTTTAGGAACAATGTATCGAATGGAGTCGATGATGAATTAATTCCAGGTAAGATTTTTTTTAATATATACCTTGTATTTTTGTATGTAACGGATAAACTCAAAAAGTACTGGACCGATTTTAATAATTTTTCATTAGAAAGCTACATTATCACTGAGTAAAATATGCTATATTTAGTATTTGATTACTTTAGGCATCTATAGAAATTCCTACTAAAACCAACGGAAAACGTAAAAAAATTTGCCGTTAAATGTCTTCCTTCGCATACGCTGCGAAAAGTATTAATGATAGGACAAAAAATGTTCGACAATATCATAGAATATATCAATATCTACAAAAAACATCGTGAAAGCATATGTCTAACTATTGTATTGTAACGCTATAACTACCTTTTTTACATTTAACACATTAATAGAAATGCCGATCAAAATCAGACCGTGTTATCTATATCGTTTATAATTTATCCAAATAAATAATTTAATATTCAAGACTGTCTCAACAGCTAATGATTACTTTTTTAATTATTGAAATCGGACATGCCATTCAAAAGATATCATGAAATTAAAATAAAAATAATGTCGGCGGCGGCCGCCACGGCGCGCTTCGAGTAACTAATTCGACGATAGAGGGGCAGTGGGCGCGGACGACATTGAATTTTCGATTTTTACTTATTTATGTCTACCCGTGCGAAGCCGGGACAGGGCTGCTAGTATTATATATACAACTAGGAACAAGCTCTTCGTAATAATTATTATGTATTTGCAGGTTCCATTGCCTATAGGGAAAGGAAAAAGTGGTTAAACTATGTCGATATGCCGAACAATCCTTATTCGCCAGAAGCGATAAAGAAAAGACTATCAGCTAAAAGTACATCATCACTATTTGATACTTTGACAACGAAACAAAGTTCAGAAAATAAATTTGCGTCTAACGAGGACGTGACAGCGCACAGAATTGACGATAATAATAAGCAGACACATAAAATGTCGGCGAGTCAAAGTACAGAATGCTTAAGTAGCAACGGTAGATCACCAAGTCCTTCAACGAAAGTATTGAAAGACGTGTTAGCTGAGGAAATTCCCCAATATAAACGGTAATTTGTTTTAAAAATAAATGTGTACGAAATTTTTACGAAGATTTTGATCCAATCTGTGCTAACATACGTTTTTGTCGTTACAGTTACGGCAGAGATTATTATATAAAAGAAGCGAAACTGTCATCCGGAGGTCGTGAAAAAACATTCAGCGATACAAGTTCCATGTCGAGCTCCATAAACAAATCGAGCAGTTTAGACAATTTCGATACAGAGTTCGCTTCTCCCGTAAGTGCTAGCAGCTCACTGAGTGACCTCGAAGCCTGCTCCCTTCATCAAAACATCGCACGAGCCGTGTTCAGCCCTAGAAACGCTAGCCCAAATTTTGCTATAAATCCCATATTCGAAAACCCTTTAGAAATTGCTGACGATATTGCGTACAGACGCAACGTCAGTAGAACGAATGTAAGAGATTATAATAATCTATACAATGGAGGTGATGGTTATGTGGAAAACGAGAATATTGTTAGACTTAATATTCCAAAAACGCCAGAAATATCGGAAGAGCACTTTGAGACGTATCATAATGTTAGGCGAAGTCAAACACTGCGTAGCGGAGATTCGTACGCGCGTATCAAACGCCGACCAGGTCTCAACCATTGCTTTGGTGGAAGCCTAAGATTGAGTCATGGCTTTCGTTCAGATTTATGGTGAATGATGAAAATTAGATATTTTCTCTTTCAATTTCGTAGATAGGAGTTAATTTATTTATCCTTTGTTTTAATATTTGTTATACACTATGTACGAGACATACATAGGACTTGTAAACAATTTCAATTCCTGGTGATAATAATAGTATATTGTCAGTATACTTTCATTCTTGGATATATCGTTCTTTAAAAAAAGTAGCTGTTTAAGAGTGAAAAGTTAGCATGGTCATACAATTTCTGCTGACTAACCGCACTCCGCACTTAATTAATAAACTAGTATCGCACTTAGTAGTGCCCTTATTATTAAAGTTTCAGTAATACTCAACAGTATTCTGCCAAGATATTAGTGGTGAGTGTTGTGTTTTCGGTGACTGAATCTAACTAACAACGCTTTGTGCAAATAATAAAACGACCTCTTTTCTGCCATCACCACAAATTAATTATAACAAGCACTCACAGCATCCGCTTCTAAACAAAATAACCCGCATTCCGCATTACTAATTGTTATTTTAGATCATAGATTTATTATTCTCAAGTCGACTTTTTAATTAAGGGCTAACTCAAAAAAATATCATTGTCTTTATTATTTTTATTGTCTTTCTTTATAAGCCTTTTGTTTTACATTTCAGGAATTATTAATTCAACAATTTAATACAATTGCTGCTAACCAAGACTATACGAAATTCGGCGCAAAAGAGCAAGATCATAAAGCAATATCTAAAGTACCCATTGAAGGCAAAAATGAAATTCTAATAGAATATGAAGATACCGATGACGTATTTGTCGCTAAGCCCATACTAGTCGACGAAGACACTGACAGAAAATTTAATGAAATCTTAGATAGCGTTAACACAGAGAAACAAATAAGTATTATGATCGAAGATCATGAAAAATCTCCTTCTCGTAACAGTATTGAAAATTCATACAGCTCGAGTAGCATTGAAGATTCTATTAAAGTATACAATGTACAAACTGGCGAGATAGTAAAATGTAAACCGGAAGATAAGGTATCGCAACGATACGAGCAAACGGCTGACGAAAATGACAACAAACATTCAGCTGATAACGAAATCCACGTAGAAATTATTGATAGCCTCAGTCAAAATGCTAAACTCAATACAGACGCATCATCCGAAAAAGATCTGAGTGAACCTCCGCTGGTGGAAAGTAGGCTAGAGAAGATCACTGAAATAGACGAAATACTACCACAGTTACCTAAGGTAAAGGAACTAGCAAAAAGATTCCTTAGTATGGATAATCTAAATGAGCCGACAAAGGTAAGTGCTTCATATCTAGATGTAAATGAGTCATATTCTATATTAAATACAAAAATATAATATGAGTCCTACTTCGTTGGGAGCTATTTACTAATGACGACGACGATATTATTTCGTGCATATATCCTGATTCCTGAGGCCTGATATACTCTTTTCATTTTTTGTTTAATGCAAACAGCAAAACTAAGCGCTGAGTCTTGCACTAATAACAAATATTGTTCGCATATTAAATGACGTAAGCATAAGTTTACTTTATTAGTTATGTATACGAAAACTTTTGCTACTTTAAACACAATAATGCATCTTATCATATTTTTTCTAGCCACCACACCAACTCTGGCGGCGAAGAAGCAGGGAAAACATCCTGGATGCTAAAGACAAACCAAAACACATGTTTATGCACAGTCTCACGGCAAGAAGCATTTCTAAAGAGTTCCGAGAGGAGCTGAAGCTCTCTAGACCAACGAATATAACAGTTCCAGGAGGTGCAAAAGAAAGTCCAGAAGGGGCTGACGAAGTTCTAAAAGAATCAAGTCCTGAACGACCTGAAAGTCCTGTTCCTGAGCCTGGAACAATAAAAACCAAGCTAGCCTTTTTTGAGAGTTTGAAATCTAAGTTTAGCAACAAATAATGAATGATTTATCATCATTTAACAGCAAATTTCTAGTAAAAAAATATTTTAATAAGTCTCAGTGTTGCCATTGTCACCAACAAACTTCTATGAACTATATTTATAAATTAAATTATTTATATAATATGTTTATAATAATAACTTTTGTGCATGAGTTGCTAATTACAACTTGTTTAGGACCTCTTAAACTTGTTTTGTAGTTACTATCAACGAAACTTGATTTTCTATTGATCAATGAAAATGTGTACCTACTATGAAGTATGTAGTTGTTTACTTACTTATCATTTATGAAATACACAAATGAAAGCTTGGATTTGCCAGGCTTTTTTAAATCTACAATCAGCATACAGAAAAATGTTCAAGGTGCTTATAGATTACGAAAAAAACTAGTTGTATGTGTATAATTTTATATTTAGGTGGTGTAAATATGTAGAATAGTGCCATTATTTTAGTAAATACCAAAGCTGTATAATAAATTGGGTAAAACATTTCTATCAAGTTAGTGGTTGTGTCTATGGTAACAATAATTACTTGTTTCTATAAAAAATATGTATGTATCCTGTCTATCTACTTTGTCTATTTCTTTTATATCAAGTTAGTGATGTGCAATATTTAAATCTTATAGTGTATAAATTGTGATATTTCAATATGATTCCTAGATCCTTTACAATAAAATTTATTATTGCATGTTAAAATGCTTGGTTCTAGTGGGTAATTGAGAAATACATAGGGATTATCAAACATACATAGATATTTATTTAAAAAGGTGTTTTAATTTTTGAAACTCTGTCTACATGTGTCTACCCTTGCGGTATCAAATTTACCATACAAAAATTGTGAAAATTACTTACTTAATAATAAATACACAATGTCTTGTGGAAAGGAAGCTTTGCTATTTCATGAGCATGTTTACGTCTATAACACCACAGATAGTAGTCAATTAATGCTGAATTTATAACGTCAACATCTATTTGTTCTTCTTTTATTTTATCTTGCAATTTTATCTTTAAAAGCTCAACAGAGTGTATTGAACATCCTCTAATCTCTATTTCCTCCTCTGTGCCATTTTCAATTAATACATCTGAAATGATGGTATGGCAACATGAATATCAATGGTTAAATAAGGATTTAAGTTAAAGTGGTATGTTTTTAGAACTAAGTTACTTACTATTTTTTAGTTTTTTCATTAGATTATCACTGTAGTTCAATACACCAAAATAAACTAATACTTGGGGTACTCTATAATCAGCAAACATTGTAATCTTATCTATATCATAAAACTCTCCCCATCCTTTTCCTTGAAATAAATTCCACAAGTCTGCAACAAGAATCTGTGCCCTTTTATAAAATGATACATTTTCTCCTTTGTAGACTGCTTCATCTCGAAAACAAGGAAAGTTTTCAATTACAATCTTCAGTAGATTTATGGCAGACTTATTTGCTTCTTTTACGCAAGTTTCAAAAGTACCCTGGAATTTATCTACAAGTATAGTTCCAACCTCATGCAGAACAGATATTCTCTCTTCAATGAGTGGTATCTGTTCTTCTGTGTCACCTTTGAAAACTTCTATTATTTTATCTCTAGGCATTTGAGAGTAATATTTTGGACTTGTAATATTATATCCATTCTGAAATAAACTTTCTGTCACATTCTTTTCTTTTTAATGCTTTATTTTGAACCTTACTTCTGACAGTACCTTAACAGCTTTATGCAGTGCGGCTTCCAAAGCGCAATATCCAGTGTGACCATCAACTGTCCATTTTTTATCCTCACCAAGAGACCAAAAACAAAAATTCAGTGTATCAGTGACAAATATCCAGTCCACTGCTTGCGTGTGACCTAATAAGGGTTGAGTTGAACTTGCTTCTATTTCAGGTATTATGAGTTTCTTACCAGAAATTGACGAAATCATCTAAGAAGTTTAATTTTATTATTAAGCGTAAAAATACACGTACGAATATTTTAAAGAGGTAATAAACCGAAAAATTGTACCTGCTCACACAATTTGTTGATGCCTTTATAATGAATTTCAACTTGTTTAGCATGTTCTGAAATAAATGTTGCAGACTCAGCTGGAGGAAGAACACTGTCCCTAAGCATTATTCTTGATTTAAAAGAGAAAGAAGAAATAACTCTATTATTTATCTTTAGTTAATTAAACTTAATCAAAAACATTAAGCTGCGATCACGAAATAAACAAAAACATTAGTCACTAAACTTTTGTAAATTCAACTTCATGACAGCTGTCACCAGTATTTGTCATTTTCAGCTTTAGTGATATTTAATATTTATTCATGTAGCATAATATTATGATTGATTATTTTTTTATTATTCATAAAGAATGATTTGTATAATTCATTTTAATAGAAATAATTTATATTTAAAGTAATTCTACAACATTTAGTCTTGACATTTATATTTTCCACATTGACAATTGTCAGCTATCAAATTCACCATTCTATATTAGACGAGATATACTCTATATAGCTTTTCAAACAATATAAAAGCTTACCGCTATTTTATTTTTTAAATTTATGAAGTGTTCTTAATGGAAAAATATAAATCATATAAAACAATTAATTAATTTATCATTGAATTATTACTATCGGTCAATAAAGCGATCTATTACTATGTCGTTAGATGTGGAGGGAACATTTGTCTCCCAGAAGATAAGTAAAATACGATGGATTCCTGAAGATTATGTCGAAACAAAACACTTTTTCACTGGTAGCTGGGATGACGAGGATAATTCTGTAAAAGTTTGGGCCTTTGAAAGGTTACATGAAGATGAAGACGTTGATAGTCCTCGCCAATTATCCGAATATAGTGTGCCTGGTGATGTTACTGAGATAAAGTTCACAGAAAAAAACAAAGTAGCAGTGTCTCTGTCGAACGGAGAAGTTAGTTTGCTTGAAATAAGTGCCTATGAAAGGCAAACTCCATTACGGGAGGTTTATAAGTGGAAACAATTACACCATATTAGGTTAGTTTTTCATGTTGACTTTACATACATGAATTATACATTTGACAAACATGCTGTTTTTTCCAGCTCTGAAAGATGTTCATGTACTGCACTAGATACATTTGAAGGGGAAATTGCGACCGTTGGTGAAGATGAGAAAGTTAACATTTTAAGCAGTAGAAGAGGTGATATCACTAGATCTATCACTGATGTTGACAGTTGTTCCATTCACTCTGTTTGCTTTCTTAAACTAAGTGAGGTAATGTATAGAAGATTACTCTGACTCTTTTGCTAATGTATAATCACTGATGTGAATAATTGTTCCATTCATTCTGTTTGCTTCCGTAATTTATGTAAAGATTACTCTTTTTGTTAATGATTTATATATTTCCAAATTTGTATGTTATGTATTCTACTTTATTAGTAATAACTATAACAATAATACGTCTAGTTGTGCAGTGTGTGTTCTGAGTGCCAATTATTCAAATATTACTTTTGCCCCAAAAATATGTCTGCAGTTATGTTTAATAAATCCAAATAATTTATTTTAGGTGATCACTGGAAATATTCGTGGTCACATGAAAATATGGGACATTAGGAGTGATAACAACAAGCCTGCAGCATCATTTCTATTAGCAGGTGATGAATTAGCTGCTACCTGCATAGTCCGACATCCAACACATCCCCACATAATACTTGCTGGCAGTGAATCTGGTTCCATTGCTGTCTGGGATCTTCGTATGAACCAGTTTCCCACCTCCCTCATCAAAGCCCATTCGTCTGGCATAACAGAAATGCATTTTCATCCAGAAAATCCTAACAAATTTCTAACTAGTTCTTTGTCTGGCGATTTATGGGATTGGGATATGGAGTCGTTGACAAAAAAATCTGCAGATACCTATTTACCAGTGGACGACAAGGAATCCATGAATGTCAACACACTTATATCTGGTTTGCATAAAGCTATTAATACAGTCCATTGTGATAAGGGGAGAATATTGTGTGGCGCTGATAATGAAGCTGTTTACCTCATGAACAACTACAAGTATTAACAATCAAGTTACTCTTACAATTAAACATATATAAAGCCTTAGTATGTATTTTATTTAAAGCCACCTATTCTCATACATTACCCACTGTGTCATGAACTAAACAAATCTATCTATAATAATATAATATAAAGCTGAAGAGTGTGTTTGTATGTATGTTTGAACGCGCTAATCTCAGGACTACTGATTCGAATTGAAAAAAATATTTTTGTGTTGATTAGACCATTTATCGAGGAAGGCTATAAAACATTACGTTGAGATTAATACGAGCGAAGAAACGGCGCAAAATATGGAAAAAAAAGGGGATATAATTCATCCTTGTGGGTTACCATTGCATACGCTGCGAAAACGGATGCAGATACCTAAAAAAGGAAGTATGAAAGGGTGATGTCCTATTTAAATGATAAACAAAAATTGTCCGAGACACTTTGTCTATCTTTTAAAATTAACTTGCAAGAACGACGGGACGCAGACGTCGTTGTGAGCTTAAATTTAGAGTTGAACAGGAGTATAAATACCTATTATTCTACGCGGACGAAGTCACTTACACAGCTAGTGAGGAATATTATTACCTGATTCAAGGACCATACAATTCCGAACATATGAGCAATAATAAAAAAAGGATTATAATTTATCCTAGTGTGTCAAAGAAAAAGAGGTTATTAAGCATACTTATCTATTTTTTTGTTAAATTAAATATTAAGACTGCACGGGCAACAATTATGTTAACATAAAAAATAAGACAGTCGCTATATCTAAAAAAAATTTAAGGTTTTATAATAATAATTTTAAAAAATACAGTATAAGATAATATGCACTTTATTTAGTCGAAGTAAATACACTTACATCTATGTTTACTATTACAATATTATAAAGTCAGTCTTTGCTTGCCTAGATATTTCAATACATTTCACTAACGCTACATTTTGAGCGCTGTTACATAGTTATCACTAAATTGCTTTTATGTTTTAGTCTAGAATATTCTCTTCATTTGTTCTTCATCATAGCATTAGAGACCATCCCCATCCACATAACATCTCAACAAGACCTATGTTGGCTTTGGTTTATATTCGAAAATCCACAGACTATATCTAAACTAATAACTGCACGGATTTTTCATCTGTGGACGGTGGTTCGTGACCTATACAGGATTTATATTCCACCTAATGAATATCCAGATTTCCAGACAAAGCCCAACATGATTCAGGTATATAACTAGATTTGAAACATGTTGGACCTGTTGGGAATCGAATCCACGCCTGATGATTATTATATCTATGCCATATATGGATATAATATAGTTAATTGGCCTATTTACGAATTTAGGACTACATTGTCACCTAAATCCCTACAAACTGCGAAGTATCAATGGATGCCCCCTTACAGGCACTATATTAAAGAAAATTAAACGCCAAAAGCACCAACAAACCATCCAAATGGTAACCAATCACTCTAATGGCACCGCATACAAAGAGTCTTAACTAGTTAAATAAATAGTGGAGGTACATGATCATGCAACCAAAATCTAATTAGATACAAGTTATTTTGGGCTTATCTAACATTGCCTCTTCACTTAAACGGTTTATAACGAGAAATATTTGACATTTGCGACACTCCATCTTCAGTCCCCTCGTAACCATGATTGCTGCAGAGCATCAGAAACATCGGAACTTATATTTCGCGTTTTAAACCGTTAAAAGAGTTTTATACAAATTTAATTTAAGCTACCAGTAAGATATACCCTAACTTGCAATGATACATAAGTATTTGATGAAAGCTCAATATGAAATGATGGGTAATTCATCAACTGTATTTCAAAATATAGATTTTCAGAATTTCTATATGACATGTCATCATCAGCAGTAACTTTACTTATTTTATTGGCTACGTAAATGTTTCTTTGTTTAGCCTCAACTGGAAAAAATATACTTTCAATATTTGGCTTCAAAACACTACCTTAATATTATATGATAATAATTATAACTAAAGAATATCACTCGTGTATTAACTTATTTTAAAAACTTATGTTAAATTTGCATTTTAGATTTCTTAATTATATATGCTTCCATTTTATTGGTCTTGTGGTACTTCGTGATAATAAGTTGTGCGCTTTTGTTTGTATTAAACTTTGTAAGGCTGTTTTGCTTAAAAATGGTCATATCGAAGCATATATTATACATTTTAGAATTCGTTTTCTGACATATATGTGATCACCTTTACTCGATTTATACTTATAAAATAGCACCTTCGTCCATTGTCGTGATAACTGTTTGATTTGTAAATTGTCAATATCCTTTGTTAGTGAAAATTAAAATCAAGTGTGATTATTTCGTCTGTGTTGTTGAGCTTTCCTTTGTGATGCTTCGAGCAGCGAGGCCGGAATAGTCCAAAGTTGCTTACTCCACCGCATCAAGGCTTCGGTAACGTGGCAGCTGTTTGCTGCTGTTGCGAGTTGCGTTTCTAGACTGTCTGTTGGTTTCAAGAGGAGACTAAAAACAAAAAAAGCATAACTTTGATAATAATGTATAAATTAAAAATACATTTTGGAATTAATTTTTTTTGACACGAGTAAAACTTGAACAGTCATCCATAGCGTTCCGTTACATTTTTGTAACGTATAACGTGATATATTTCTGTAGACTAGTACTAATTAATATATATTCTTTAATTTACTTCCATCGTCATGATTTAAAGACTATTTTAAACCATTGAAATTTTTCTCTACGCTTACCTAGGTGGAAAAAGTGCGGGTGCTATGATCATAGCTACATTGTGTTCACTCATTTTGTTTGTATCGCTCAGTGCTACAATGTCGGAAACGAGCCGTAATATCTCCCGCAGCGTCGCGCGCTGTTCAGCTGGTAGAAGCAGCACAAGGAGGTTTAACGCGCGTCCCTGGGTACTGCCAGATAATGCTGAAACAATTGTAACTTTGTATAGGTCACGATCACTCCAGCGAATTAGATTAGCTTAAATTAGAGGAGGTACACAGATTAAAAGATTTCTTTGAAGGCGTCACGTCACATTTATTCAATTCAAATAAAACAGGGATTTATTTTAATTGATCGTTTTGATTGAGGCTTTTGGCAGTGTAGGTCAAATAATAATTAAAAATGCAGATTAACGTTATGATACGGGCCGCTGTTAAAAATCATTTTCGAAATGTCGGGCCGAAGTTTAAAATAATATATCGCGTTTCAAACCGTTAAAGTGTTTTATTTAAACCTTTTTTCTGTCTTTTTCTCAGTTAACTAACAAAAAAACTAAAGGGTATGCAGCAACAACAGAAAGAAATGCTTCAAAGCAAATAAGTATATCGCAATCACAAAACCTTAGAGATTCTATTGTAACATAGTAATATATTTTACATACCATATGTATGGTAAAAGAGCTTAGCAAGTTCTTGAGTAAGCGGCGGTTGGGGCAAAGCTCGCAAAAGCCGCTTGAACACAGCAGCAAGATCGTGGCCCGTGGCCCGGGACAAGACCTCTTGCACGGATTCTCGATCGCAGTACCACTGGTGCTCTATCAACTGGCAAAGGGATTCGATCTGAAATGTGGTAACAAAAGTCTATATTGCATCTGCTTTGCCTTAGACATATTATACTTATTATAAATGAATATAAACAATCTTAAATCGCGAGGTAATTCCGGAATTGCATGAACCATTTTATTGTATTGGAAGTTAGAATTTTTTGTACGTTTCCTCTTACTTTGTTGAGTTTTACTCTAAATTTGTTCCTATGTTTATCATTTTTATATATAAGGGTTGCCTGTAAGAGCCGTATGGAATTCGATAAGGCCGCCTAAGTAAGTACTAACTTTTAATGTAAATAACTCATTTAATAATTCCTTGTCTTCAATTGTTTGTGATTTAAGTGTTTTATTAAACAAAAATGTTTTAATAAGTATAACAACTTTGCCATACGCCAGACTGCAAAATTCGTATGCCCGACGTCTCAGCGCATTTTTTCAAGCTTTACATTACTGTGAAAAATAACGTTTCACTAAATTTGGTATTTTGTTGAATTTCGACAATAACAAACATATACTCTTTCTCAATGGATATTATAGAAGAGAAATTCTTACATTGTATGATAACACACAGTTATGTATGTATAGGATAGCTCATACCTTATGCTTATTACCAGGTACCCGAAGAAGCCCTTCATCACCAGTCCTGTCCCGTAATGATTCAATGAGAGATCTAACTATCGCTGGTACAGAACTCCATGTCTCCTCCCATATAATCATATCTTTACGGAGCAAGGTTTCCAGGGCAACTCCAAATATCGCTCCTTCTAAAAATCAATATATATATGAAAACTCGAGAAACCAATAATTATAGTCTTAACACATCTGAAGTAACAACCAATTAAATTTCAATTATTACAGTATCCAGATATGTATTTTGCTAGTAGTTGGTTTCAAAATAAATCCTTACCTTCTTTTCTCTTTTTCTTCGGTGGTTTTCGTTTGTGAAATGGAAGCGAGAATTTGTCAAACAACGCCGTTAGTTCGAGCCAGAGCAACGGCTGCAGTTTCTTCAACTGGGACTCGCAGAGGCTTTCGATGTCAACTGTGCTGTCTTGTTCAGGCCATTCCTGAAAAAATATTAGTTGGTGTGATATTGAGATGCTCGCTTTGTTGAAGTTAAGGCACGAGTTTTTACTTACGCTTCGGTTAATTTGATTGTATAAGAAAAATTACAAAATTTAAGTAACTTTCATCAATGTCGACCGTTAATGATGTTATCTTAAGTTATTGAGGTATAACTTACTTCGTCGTGTTCGAGCATTTGTCGATCGAGATTAAACTTATGTTCGAAGCTGAGAGGCTGCTGGGTGGAGGCTGCGCTCTTTGTTCGTGACACTGGGGCGTGTTTCCTGTATATATTTTATAATTAAAGCCTCTCCCTCTTATAACAAATAACTTTTATTTAAACATACTTTATAACTATGTACAATGATACTGATTATTATCATGGATCAATGTTATGTTGTAATGCAATTGGTTCGCTTACATAAAAATATCGTTCTCTTTGAGAATGGAGCCATTGATCCGTTCCTTTCCTATCCGAGGGCCCTGCACGGTGCCGTACCGTTGGTAACCAAGCAATTCTATGCCTTCTGCAAAATTAAAACAAAATTTTTACTAACAGCAAATATTCGTTTAAAATTCTTAGGAATGTAGGACCATACGCCAAACCTAGGTACATTTTTTTGCTTTCATATGAAGCTCTCAACTCCGTGGCTCAATTAGCAAAACGGTTGAGGTCGTGGGGCAGGCACAGAAGTATACCCACCTTGTTGCTTGTGAATAAAATTATTGGAAAAATGATCACAAAAATGCCTCTACAGTCTAAACCATTTCTCATGTCTTTATTTTATTATTATTACAACGAATTTCGTTATTTCTACCATCAATTTAATATCCAGGTTTCATACATAAAGTCATGAACATGTTTCAAAAACATTATAAATTGATTAGAAACATATTCTATCCGGTGCGGACGAACCCCCCCTTTGATTATTAGCCCCCAACCCCGCCAAAAGTCTAATTCATCGAATCCTATTTAATTATAGAAAATATACTATTTTTCTCAATATACATAAGAATAATTCTCACTCACCAGTGTTGGAGGCTATATCAGCCCAATGCAACTCATTGGGCTTGAACAGCTCATGAACTGGGCGCGATGGGGACAGAGGATTGGGCGGGGAGAGACGCGCCCTGCGCCCGCTCGGGGCAGACGGCGTACGAGCTATGGGCGCGTGAGTGCCCGCTGGATAACTGTCGCTAAAAAAATAATACTTTTTTATTTTAATATGAATGTAAGAGTATTTACCTTCGAACGCTTACGGTTTTTGAGCTCTAAAACAACTTATAGTCTTCTCTGTCCGACTTAAATCTTTTGTTAAGTGATAAGTATTTTTTGATAGACTGAAAATCAGGAATATTTATAAATAAACAATAACAAATGTATTGGTTTATTCATAACAATCGTTTGGTACAATATTAATTATCCTCATACCAACCCTAATATGACTTATAAACTCATACGAACTGTATTAAAGAAAATACTTACACAAAATCTGGTGGAGTAGCTGCGTCTGCCCACTCAGTGGGGGGGCTACCTGATCCTCCACTAGGCAGCGAATCCAAAGAGTCAGGGGTCGCACTACGCGACCGAGGCTCACTGCCGCTTGAGTTCTGAAATAAGTATTTTAAATTACTCTCTTAAAATGACGCTTCTTAACGCTATCGTTTATTTAAATATTTAGAAGGCACTAAAGCTAAGGTCACCACGCGAGCTCGATAGATTATTATAAGCAAATTCACAGTACTCTATAATATAGTACAATCAAGTGTACGTTTTAGACTTTATCGTTCTACATATTAAAAGAGCTTTATCATCTCAATAATTGTTGTTGTGTGAAGCCTTATGTTAACTCGTAACATAGACATATAGGATTATGTAGATAATTTTTCTGTATTTAGGTGACTAAACAAGCACTAAAGGTATTTCCAATTTCAAAGTATGCTATTCAAGGATTCTAACTGAGTATTACACTGATTCATTTTTCATTATCGCAAACAATACTATTCCGTCAAAAATAAATAGTTTGTACTATATTCCGGTCGCACTATTTCTTTTTAAGGAAAACTTTCCTTTCGTCAGCAAATTCAAATATAGCTGAATCATTTCTGCAGTTTCGTCTTGTAAAAACGAGATAAAATTGCTACCGCATAGATAAGGCAACGCGACGAGACTATATCTTTCAAAATTTCTTAAGGTGCGTATTTGACAAACTGTGTTGTCATTTGTTCAAAAATATATTACGGTTTTTATATAGGCGCAAGATTATAAGTATAAAAGTCAAAAGTTATAATATGCGATGTACAGTGTCTTTGAAACACTAGAGAGCCTATTTCTAAAGCAAGAAAAAGGTGTTGAAAAGTCAGAAGCGCTAACATGTCCGTTAGTTTCTCTTGCAATAAAAATAATTGCGACACGGTGACGTAAGGTCGATAAAATAACAATTAGGTTGAATAATTTTCTCGTTATTTGTCGAATTTATGCAATTATTTCGTATTATCTTTCGAGCAGAGGTCATTCACCCGTGCACCTAATTAAATATAATACGTAGGCTAAAAATCTCAAAAAATTACTAGAAAATTAATATTGCTCCTCTTTGTTGGAAATTATTATTTTTTGCACAAATTAAAATTTTAAAGCACTTAAAACAATAAATTCTATTTGTACGAGTGCTATCGAACTGCGAAGCTAAGAACCTTAATAAAACTAGAACTATAAGAGATATATTTTTTACTTTGACCAGACACGTGGTCGTTTTTACTTATTAAAGATATTTTATTTAATACGTAATATTCGCATAAACTACACATAAACTTAAACTACGTAATGTTAATTATTATTTGTGGTTAGTAAAACCACAACCACGATTTAAAATTTAAACATCTGTGTTAAGGTGTGTCCACCCGTACGACAACTTTATCATCGCTAACGATGTAGATCTTGTATTTACCTACATGTAACCTTGTCGCTAATCTATACGGCCTTGATATTGCTAATAAAAAATACTACTTGGTTAAAATAGTGTTAAGGCTTGCTAGTTAAGCAAAGGCCGCGGTTCAAAGTTTTTTTTAATCATTTAAGACGTGGACGCGTTTTGAATTCTGAGAAAATGTCTCAATGTAAAACTTGTTTATTCAAAATCGTAGTTCAAGCTTACAGGGGCGTTATATAATACATATTGTTACGTTATATTTATATTGTAAACTATCGAAACGGAGTTAAGGTTGAGGTCTGAAATTTTCGCAGTGAAAAAATTTCTGTCTAATTGGTGTCCTAAACCTTGTTTGGGCGTATTTAAAACTATGAAATAGATTTTAATAGAACAAAATATTGATATTTTTACATGCTTAGCCGTTTAAGTGGTAGTCGTACATTCAATTAAAACGAGGTTAGCAAAAATTAATATGTCCTCAAAGATCTATAATGTATTCAAACGAACAATTTGCTTCCGTTTTTTGGGGGACAAATACATGTAATGAAATTACACTTAATGTTGGATTAGGAAGTTGACTGTAAATACAATGTCAATATATATATCTTCGTCAACGCTTCCTAAGAGACGTAATTAACTGACAAAGTCGTGTGTTTTATTGTTATTTATACATTGTAAACAAGGGTAAAGTAATATAGATATCATAATTGTTTTAAGTGAAAACTTAGGGTACATTTTCTAGATAGACATTCAAAAAAGAAACATTTGAATCGCCGATTTGACTACACTTACTTGTTAGTCTTTCTTATATAACAATCTAAAAAAAGGATACACAGAATATCACAAATTGTATATGTATTTGTATTATAAAACAATATGTGATTGACAAATTATGAATAATAAAAAAGTAAAGCAATAAAAGATGGCGAACGTCTTTAGATAAGGGTGTGTTTGCATAATTAAGTAACTTGCACCAATGTATGTAATGTAATTATTGTTAGCCTCTGCGTATCGATTGCGTGATATTAGGCGAAGCGTGAAGGAGCATTCGCCTTCAAACTGCAAGTGGAAAGCTTCTGTTTCCTGCTCAGGTGGAGAATGCAACAGTGTGACCATGGACACAGTTTATTAGAGAGGTGAGGGGAAGCCTCTCATTGATATATCAAGTAGGTGTTAAAATATTAGTCTAAAAAATAAGGTAGGGTCAGTATTTAAAAATCACTTTTTTTTAAATCTTATTTGAAATGTTGTAGGAGATGCTTTTAATTTTATTTGTCTGAATTTTTATATCGTATATTTAAAATTGTTCTTGAAATTTTAAATCAATAAGTACTGAAAATAATTATGTTAGGCTTTAATGCTTAGCCTCTGAAATCTAGGCAAGACTCGGTTTCGTTACTAAAGCTATTAATATGTATCATTTGTATTTTTAGTTACGTATATAAGGTTTTCACTTATGTTAATTTAGTGTGAATGTTCTAATGTATTAATTATTTCCTTCTTTTTTATTTTTATAAAATAGATACCAGAACATCCAGATACGACCGGACCAACGCCAGCCCCCTACAGTTCACCATCTTCTCGCAAACTTTGTGCCGCATCGTATCACACATCATCATCACAAACACACTGTGACAGCCACACATCCACTCAATTCAACAAACACTGGATACATTTGCCACGTTTCGAAATACGCCGGACGCCCGCCAATTTTCAGCGTCCGTTAACACGTAACATTTAATTTACATAGGAATATTTTTGTCCAATTAAACGGTATTCAAACACGACTGTCCAGAGCGATATTATCCAACAAATTGTTTCGTCCTAAACCCTAATGGCGTATTTGTCTAATGACTTCATTATCTTTGCCTGGAATTGTTTGAAATGTATCTCGGTTGCAGAGGTATGTTTGGCCGAAGTTATTGAGAAGCAATTATGAAATGATATTATTTGATAGCAATTTATGAATCCCGTTACTATAACTGGTTTGGCAATATTGTAGAATTCATATATAGTTAATTTCGATTGAAAACATCAAGTTCCTTGGAGAAAATTGGCAACACATTTTTGAGCGATTAGTAGGAGGACGATAGGAGTCTGCTTCGATTATGTGACTTCAGTTCAAACAACTGAAGACAGCGCAAATGTGCTTAGTCTTAAAAATATAACCGATATATCTTTTAATCTCCATGTATAATATACCAACAAAGTGGTTTTAACCACACGATAAAAGCCTTAATATTCAATAGATATCCCCTTTCATTAAGATTGTATTATTATAAGGACAGATAACTATTATGATTTTTATTTACAACGACTTTTCACATATGTATTAAAAAAGTGATTTGTCATATTCCTACACATAAAATGTATGTTAATATTGTTGCAAAAGCTACAAAGACGACGCAGTTTTGCTAAATGTGTGTTGACGATTAACCCAGTGCTCTGGTAATTTGGCGCAAGATAGCTTAGCGGTTCACGTAAACCATCAGGCATCAAGTACCTAAGTGTAATGGCACTTGAACATTTGTGGAGTATGTCAGATAAAACTTCATTTTATTTTTGCATTGATGTTAAGTGGATGATGACGAAAATTCGGTTAATAGCGTATCTAACGTTCCGGTCACAGTAAGGATACATAGTGGGCCATCTATATATACTATTATATAACGTTTATAATTTGAACGCGCTAATCAAAGGAACTACTGGTTTAAATTGAAAAATTATTGTGGTAGGCTAAAGGCTATAAAACATTGAGCTGTTACTAATAGGAGCGAAGTAACAGCTGCTGTTATGAAAAATTCGGGGATAATTATTCATCTTGGTGGGTTTTGTGAAGGTGAGTCTGGTGAAGTAAAAAATTATTTTTAATGCTGCAAAGCATCCGAAACGTCGGGTCGAAGTTAAAAATAATTTTCTAATAAGTTGAACTAATATATCGCGTTTTAAACCGTTAAAGTGTTTTATTTAAATGTGTACTACTCGCGTAAACTAAAAATAATAGACAGTATTTAACAATTAACAGGATAATCTTACCTCCAAGTCACGAAAGACATCTCTGATATCGGGTTTCTTAGCACGGGTAGCAGCTTTGCGTCGCCTCACGGTTCTGTTTAGTCGTCTAACCCGTCGACGAACAGCTGCAGCTTGCTCACGAGGTAAAGGCCTTACGGCTTCACCAAGCTGGGCTTCGGTCACCTCCAGGCCAGCCTGGAAAGGCGCTGCCAGGGATCCCAGTCCAGCTGCTTGTAGCCATTCTGTTTCTAATTCGCCTTCTGCGAAAGAAAGAAATATTTTTATAGAATTTGTATTGTTTAAGTGGGTAGTCGTATTAAGTTACCACGACTCTCGAAAAGCGAAAGATGTTTGAAAACTTTAATAATTTTCACGTGCACATATATGAATTAAAAATTAAAAAAAAATACGACTCGGGCAGGATTTGAACCGGCTTCCACAGCGTTCCAGAGAAACAACACAAAACGCTGTAGATGCAGGTCCTAAGTCCTGTTCAAATCGTAAATTTTTCAAGTCATAATCGATTTCTTTAAGCAAAAGATGAATAAAATATAAGGCCGGAAATAAATTTATTAATGCATATATATCTCAATTTAAAATTTTACTGATCAAAATTATTATTGTTAAATACTATATCAGTGTTTACTTTTACATATTTTATTTTACAATTCAAAACACAGCTAAGAGTTATCGGTGCGCCCGACACTGCAAATAACAACATGTTAGCAAAACATCGCCGGATCCAAGAGATCACTGACTCCGAACCGAATAGAGGAATACACAATAGCAATCGAAATAATTATATTCTAACAATTGTTTTTTTTGTAGTCGAGTATAAAAACTCATAGATCATCAGTCATGTGAGTTTATTGAAGTTTTAAGTGATATTGGTATATTTCGTACAATTTGAATATAGAGTAACTGAGACGGAAATGAATTAAATATCAAATGGAATGAAATTATAGTGGTTTATTTATCTACGTGGGGTAGGGAGCATTTCTTGATCAGAAAACTGCGCCCTACCCGACCGAAACTATTATTGATATTTACTTTGTTCCCCGTTTTGTGCCAGATTCGTACTGAACTCAATGTGTCTTATTGTTCATCCAAAGAGACGGTCAATTACTATCTGCCTTTGAAGTTATAAATAATATATAATGTCTTTCTTAATCTGGTAAGAGTATGTCAGGCAACAAATGTTACCATACAATATTAACTTGTGATGAGATCACGAATTCAAAGAAATAACGGTTTAATAATAATCTGATCGGCCTGCTACACACGAACTCAATCCCGATATTATACTTACTTATATTTGATTTTTTATACACAAATACTGTCGTAGTGTACGCGAGTAGTAGACATTTAAATAAAACATTTTAACGGTTTAAATCGCGATATATATTGGTTAAACTTATTTGAACATTATTTTTAACTACGGCCCGACGTTTCGGATGCTTTGCAGCAGCCGTGGTGTTTTATTTAAGTAATTTATACACAATCACTCTGACATCTGAACACCAAGCAGATTCTTTTTTTTAACCTAAGTAATCCTAGCATTTGATACTAAGTTATATTCGGATGTTTAATATAACTAGTTATTTATACAGGATCTTTAAATTAATTGTTGTCTAACAAGGATGCAGCCACGCTTTTCTAAATATATATCTGAGTCAGCGGTTAACGCTCGCTAGTTTATGTATGGTTAACGTCCTGAGGGATTTCGATAAATCCTTTACTCTGTTATTTATTACAAAGAACTTCCCTATGAGTTCATCTGTCACTAGTAGTTAGACAGCTGATTTTTTTATTTTTATTTAAATAATACAAAATAGATCTTTTTTTCGTTAATGAATAATTATAAAATATTTTTTACTTAAGCTGGATAAAACATACTCTTTAAGTATCTCTATATCTATTTAATACCAACGAAGACATTATAGTAATGATACAAAGTTTAAAAGTTTTTTAGATTTTTAAAATGAGTTGGTAACCTCTAATAAGTGAGTAGTAAATGCGACCTAGCATTAAGGAAAACCTAAGAGGTCCCAGCTTTTATATTTTTAGGGAAAACTATTTGTTTCTAATTACATTTTTCAGTTTCTAACTCTTGTTAAAAATCCTTTTTAATTCTGATAGCAGTATAGTTAGTTCATTTTTTTATGACAGAGATAAATAGATACGAGTATAACAAAGAAGCTAGTAGCCATGACCGGAGCGAAAGCGCGCATAGAGAATCTCAATTAATCACTCGTAAAACTTTAGAAATTGTTTGTCTGTACATTTACCACTAATATCATAGGGTGACAGACTACAAAACAAATTTTATTTTAAAGATTTTCTTATATACACGATAATCTGCGAAGGTAAATATGTATATATATTTTACTTATTCAATGCAATTAACGTGTTGACGAAAATAATTTTCTGGCCAGGCGAAATCGCAAGCCAAGGCTAGTATAAAATTAAGTTTTTGTATAACATTGTAAATAAACGAACTAATAGTGAAATCGTCGTCCCAAGACTGGTCGCCAACTCAATATTTTACGGTTAATTACATTAAGCATTGTACTCACCGATAACGTATTTGGCGTGAAATCGGCATATTGCTCCCATAACACACATTGGGTCTCACTATTGTCATTCAAAATCTATAGCCCAGTCACGACATACTACTAGAGAAAACTAGTTTCACAGACTATATTATATGGAGGAAAGTAATAAATAAACAGTACAGAAAACATATCGCCGGAAAGCTCAATTTCTTACTGGCTTTTCACTCGATTATTCATTTAGGAATACGTGACGTGTATAATGAATAATAGACCAATCTTATAGCTATATACAATGGATTTCAGATAAGATATAAAGTCGGTGTGTTGAAAAACGCCAAAAATATGATCGTAGTGCGGTGGTGGCGTGGATTTGGTGCCAATTTGCCCACTCACTTCTGTCTGTCTATTATTATTCTTTCGTTTTGCTTTAAGACTTTATATTGACTAAATTTCGGCGTCAGCCGGCGCGGGCGGCGTTCGCTCCAGACTGCGTAAGCTTGTATTCCCTTGAGTTTATTAAGGACTTATATTTAGATTTGATTGAGCACTCTACACAACATAAATAGAACCAAAAAAGTGCTTCTGACAAGTGAGACGCCACCTACACGCAAATCACGGAATTACCTAGTATTCATCAATTTAAGCTTTGTTTATATTTTAAGGAGCAATCGAAAATCACTCTTTTACGAGTGTTGTTTTTGTCAGGAGCTTTTTGTAAAGAGATCCTCTTCACAAAAAGTTGGGGGGTATATATCCAGCTTAAAACAACACACTTATTTTCTTCAATCCGCGACAAATTTGATTTATGTAGAACATAGTAAAGTTTTTAAGAATAAAAAGCAACTAGTGGGAAACACATAAATTCCCAAAAATACACAACGGTACAAAACTGGCACACATGTTTACACTATAATTTTAGCACGTTTTAGTAAGTATGAATGAAACATCACGTGAAAATCTGTTTATTGATGGCCGGCGGTGAGTACTCTGGCGGCTAAACGCAACTTTATAGGTGGGTGTCTATTTTAGAAGCGGAACTCGCCTAAATATAATCTATGCTATTATTGGACAACCTCAAACGTAATAAATAGGTGTACTTTTTAAACGCTTTATTGCCCTGTTAATCTGGTTGGTGATAACTCGACTGCAGTTTCCGAGATCCTAGGTTCGAATCCTCAGTCAGACAGGTCATATCAGAAAGGAAACTGTGCCCAGCCAATTGGCTATAAGACAGAAGACTTTTGCATCATACATTTGAAGTATAAGTTATAACGTTCTATCGTATTTTACAAAAAGGCTGTTTGTTGTATTGAAACTTTGTTTTGTCTAATAAATAATTGAGTCTGACTCCTGTTTTGACCATTGTTCATACTATTATAATAAAGCTATAGAGTTTGTTTATTTGTTTGATCGTCTCAGTTGCTAGTCTCAGGACCTCCTAGTTTGAATTGAAAAATTATTTAGGCTATAAAACATCGCGCGACCAATAGGAGCGAAGACACAATGGGAAATGTGGAAAATTATATATCTTTGTCGTCTTCGGTGGCGTGCGCTGCAAAAACGTTTCAAGATATCTGAAAACTATGTATGAAAGAATTCCTCTTTAAGTAAACCAAAAAATGCAGTATTTGTCGATCTTTTAAATAATAACTCGCAAAAACTGGAAGCGGACGACATTGAGGATAGTAGCTAAAATGTATAAAGATGAATTTTGATGTCCAAAATAAGTAATGTATGTAGAGGAAATCGCGCCCATAGGTCGCTGTTTATAAAAAACAAACAAGCAAGCTATAATAGTTATGACTTTTAAGTACAGTATGAAGATGAGAATTCCGCGCATTTTCAACAGATTTCAATGAAAGAACATTTGCATATCATCTTCGTAGCTATTTCTATTTCCTTGAATATTAACTACTTACCATTATTTAACAAGGACAAATGCTCCTGCACTGTATAGCGGAGTATCACGACCATTATTTATGTAAATTATTCACTTAAAAACAATAAACTAATAACACAAACCACTAGATGTTCACTTCACTGAGTACAAAGAGAGTTTAATCAAGTACCAAAGACGAGACAGAAATGATAAGTTGTCAAAACACAATTAGTAAGTATAGAAGTAATTAAGTAATGAGCACTGCACTATTGTTTTATTTTGTAACGGGAAATAGTTATTGGTGATTAGCGTATAGTTGTTGTTTGTCGACGATCGGAAGGTATTTAAGATGTTGTTCAATATTCGGTGTCCCCTAGGTGGGCTAGCGTCCGTATTGTTTCGCCATTAGGTCACTTTCGGTCTCTAAAAATCTGATATCATATTACGCTAAAAAATTAGATCTTTACACAAGAAATTTACGTTTAGTCGAAGAATGTCTCTTGTAAATAATTTAGAAAATCTAATTTAATTTTTAGTTCATTCGGAAAAAAACATAAGAGTTTCGGAAACGTATGATTTTTTCTTAGGCCTACAGTTACAAAACCGCCAAAACAATTGAAACAAAAATATAAAATAGGACCTAATATCTAAGTAATCTAAATAAATAGGTATTTATAAAACCATTTAGTTCACTATGCAATAAAATATATATTATATGTCCTGAGTATTGTAAAGAATGTGTTATTGTTGTTGTTATATTACCGTATATTGTAGTGTTCTGAAAAGAGCTTTATCTTGTACGCGCATTAATGTTTCATTTACATAA